GGAGAATCTACATTGAAAAAAAATTTTACTATTATTATATAGAAAAGTAATATTTTACATTAAACGATAGATGAAGAAAAACACATCGATTATTTTATTCATGGAATTAATATTTCACTGCTTATAGAATGTTATACTGAATCAAATTATCGTTAATTTACTAATTTTTATCCTCTTTCGTAAGAATACAATGAATTTAGTTGTAATATTTTTAGATAAACTGCACATATAAACATGAGCGAGAACAGTCGTTTTTGACTCCAGTTCTATAGTCCAAACAATCAAAAGTAGGAGTTGGAATTTGACTTTTTTTCAATTTCATCAGGCCCCTCGATGTGGCGGGGGCTGCCGGGAGCTAGCCCCCGGCACTTTTTGAGCGTGCCTGCGAAAATTTTCTTGCTATTTGTCTGCGAAATTTTTAGTAGCGCTTAGAGTTCGGATTGAAAGGGCTCGGCTGTCGCAGAAGTACTTCAGTACGCCTAGAAAATCTTGTTGAAGACCTTTTTTTTGCTCTTCACTTCTGACTTTTGGGAAAATTAGGGGGGCATTTATGCGTACTGTCTGCGAAAAATTATTAGCCCCCGGCACTCTCGAAAACAATCGAGAGCCCTGAATTTCATCATGCTGTGTTATCTTGTTTTTATATACTATGGACTGATGTGGATCGGTCAAATATTTACTATTATAATCCTATAGTAGTTCTCTACCTATGCTGTATTTCTTGGAATTTTGTCTTGGTGTATATGTGTATATATAATATCAACTGTAGTGATTCTTATCATTTGATTTTTATTTGCATATTGCATTTTGTATTACATATCTTTTTTATCGTACGTATAAATGACACTGTACTAATATATTGCGGGATAACTTTTTATATTACGCTTTCTTTATTGTATTATGACATATAGAATTGACCTGTTCATATAGAGAGATCATAGCCACCATACCTTCAGATGAGCTTTATGTGTCATAGTATAATAAAGGAAGTGTAATATAAAAAGTTATCCCACAATATATTAGTACACAGTGTCATTTATACGTACGATAAAAAAGATATGTAATACAAAATGCAATGTGCAAATAAAAATCAAATGATAAGAATCACTACAGTTGATATTATATATACACATATACACCAAGACAAAATTCCAAGATATACAGTATAGGTAGAGGACTAGTATAGGATTATAATAGTAAATATTTGACCGATCCACATCAGTCCATAGTATATAAAAACAAGACAACACAGCATGATGAAATTGAAAAAAAGTAAAATTCCAACTCCTACTTTTGATTGTTTGGACTATAGTCTTAAAAAAAATAGTCTTGATCCCGATCTAAAAAGCAATTAGTCCCGGTTTCGGTTCATCTTGCCCATATCGATTTAGAACACGTGATTCATGTCACTATGACCTTAGATACAAGTTTTGCATGATCATAAAAGGTATTGTTTTCAATGAAAAAGCCTTCGGTCTGGTTCCAGTCTCGACCCATATCTAACTGCGCTATTACGCATTCGAAGTATCATTCTTCTCCACATATTCTATTTTTTTAAAGATTAAGTACATTAACTTTCAAGTAAGCTAATCTACATTGAGTCGAATGACTTTTATTGTATTAATTTCACGTAATACTCATAAAATGCTCAGTTAATTTTATTTTATGAAATTGAATTAATATATTGGATTAGATAGAAGAACTATTTACTTGGTATAAAATGTGACATTGAATTGTTCATTATATTTGGTAATGTACTATTCGATTTATTAGTTGATATTATTCTTTTTGTTGTATGTTTTTTAATATCAGATACTTGAGAACATGAAAATAATTCATCTTTCGTTTGAAATTGATCTATATTCATAGTTGATGGTTGAATAGGTTTTATTAAATGTTCATCAATTGGAATGGGTTGAAGGAGATTCTTAATTGGACTAGTTGTCTTTTTTTTCTTATGTTCATCATTATCATCAGATAATGAATCATTATCACTATTAATTTGTTCATTATTCATTGAAACAATTTCAGCTGATGTATATTGTTTTAATCTTTCAAGTATAACTTGTTGTGCAGCTTTATCATTACGTAATGATTGTAATTCTTTTGAACGACGTTTAGCAAGTACTTGTAAATGTGATGAGACTTGTTTACGTGTACGTGTTTTACCTGTACGAATTTTAATATAACGTGCAACTAATTCATTACGTCCATACATTTTTCCTTCTTCAGTTAAAATTATTTTTCGTCGTCCACATGGAGGATATATAGCAAGTGCTTCAAGAAAACTTTGTTCAATATCAGCACTCCATATACCTTCAGCTTCATCAACTGCTCCACTATTTGTTGATGATGATGGTATTGAAACATTATTATCTATTTTAACTTTATCCATTGGTTTTCTTTTTTTTTTCTTTTACTTATTCAAACAAATCATATACATCTAGAACTATTAAAACAAAGAATTCAGAATAGATAAATGGTTTTTATTCATACAATACGAAACGAAAAACAAAAACAAGATATTTATTTTATTTATTTATTTTTTACATATGACATGATTAATAATACAATGGATTATAAGTTATCCAATGAGCTTTATTTTGTTCTTTCTTTTTAGCAGCATCACTTGTTGTAAATAATGATTTATATAAATCGGATTTCGTTGAATCTTGTTGTATTGATGTTTTGCCATTGGTTGATTTGTTTGTTGAAATAATTTTTGTTGTATTAACTTTGTTTGTTGATATGTTTTTATTTGTTACTGTTGTTGATGATGACGATGGAACATCAGTAACTGCTGTTGAGTCTAGAAAAAAAAATGTGAATTTAATTAGTAAAGAAGATTTTAAACTTTTTGACGAGGAAAATATTGTCTCGTAAGTGCGGCTATTAAAAAGTACAGACCGTATTATTTATTCTTTGTCTTAATCTATATCGAAGACTTTCTAATCTTATCTTACATTCAATCAAGATATATATCAGATTTCCCAGAAAATTATCTTTCAAAAAGGAGACTATTTATCCCAGTTGCGATTAAACCAAATGAAATTGCTTTTGATTTTTGCTAAAATAGATAATGCTACCTTTGTTCCATTTCATCGAGGTGGTACCACATATTAATATTTTAAAAGTATTCCGCAGTACTAAACACAACATAAACTATTAGATAGAGAGATAGTCTTTCTCTATAAATTTACATATATCCTGTCCTACAGTTAAAGATCATCGAAAACCTTATAATCGCTTTTTTAGTCCAAGGAAAAATCATTGGTAATAGAGTACTTATTTTTATTACTCAACAGCAAACAATATGTAAATTTATTGCATCTATTTTTTTTTTCGAATGTCACTTCCGTGGATTCAGTTTAAAAAGTGTATTTCGATAGATGGCGCTATTTATATATTCTAATTGAACTTCGTAACAAAAATTTCAACGTTAAAAAATAGCCGATAGTTATAAATTATATTTAGTATTGTTTAAATCTTGCAAAAGTATACTTTCGATTTTACATCTAATGTCCATTGTACATTAGTTTCAAATATAGGGAGTAAAGAAGCCTTAAAATTGCGTCAGTTTTATCAAGTGATTTTTCTATGAAAGTTAGTTTTTGATGAAAAAATGAACTATTTTGAAAAAAATGTACTAATTACTTAAGATCTTTGAAAAAGTATGATACAAATAGTTATAAACAGAAGAGAATGACATCTATATGGGAAAAAGCCCAGAATGACGAAAGAAATTGACGCAATTCAACATAAAACTATGTCTTTTGTTTTTCGAAACCTGAAATAAGAAATTTTTTATATATTCAATCCAAAAGTTATAGTTTTCAGAAGTATATATAAATAAAAAACTTTCAAATCTTCTCTATTATCCAAATAAAAAAAGCTATTTGATTTGGTCTAACCGCAATAAAGATTAATTGTTTTCTTTTTGATAGAAGACTTTTCAAACACTCTATTTGATTAAGATTTTCATATTAGTAAGAATAGAGTAATATTGAACTATAACTGAAATATAAAATATGATTATTTACCAATTTTTATTTTTTTTCCATTTGTATCTTCTTCTAAATCGTGTAATTTTCGTTTTGTTGATCCATTCTTTTTTTGATTGGCATTCAATCGTTGTTGTCTTTCTTCCATTAAAATAATATCTTCATTTTCTGGATTTAATATAATAATATCATCATTTGATGAATATTCTTCTCCACATTTTGGACATGAAAGTTTTTCATCTGTTGTATTATTATTATTATTAACTGATCGAAGTGCACGATCCGATAGAACACAACCACATGTCCATACAGCACAAAATTTATATTTACCATTCATTTCAAGACCAGTTAATGGACATATAAATGGTGATGAATAAACATCTAAATATTCATTTCCTAAATCATTATGATTTAATTTAAATGATGGATTTTCTGTTAATTGTAATTCTTTAACATCTTTAAGTTTTTTAATATATGATGGTCCATGTTCAAATTGCATACGATCAAGTAAATATTCTAATATAGCATCTTTATTATATAAAAGACCATGCGAATCAACAACAATAGGTCGTTTAAGTGAATCATGTTTTAATGTACAATGACGCCATTTAGCCATATTAGCTGCATTTTTATCTTTGACTTCAGCTTTTTTCTTTTGTCGTACAAGTTCATCACGTCTTGGTATAGTACCACCATCACAACCCATATTGAATTGCTTAGTTGATCTGAAATGAAAAAATAAATAAATGAACTCAATATTTATGAGTCAAAATACATTTATTTTATTGGTTTCATAAGAAAATTATATTTGCCTCTATTCGATATACTCTAGCGACAATGACATACATATGCAAATGTAAATTTTATATTGACAAGATGAGTCATATTTAAAAATAATAATAATAATAATATTAGGTAGATTTTTTTTTTGTTCTTCTGTTTTCTTCTAGTAAATTCTATTTTGTAAACATTACATTAAAAATCTAACGAGAATAAATTATGCCGGGTTGTCCTCATGATGATGAATATTCATCAAAACCACCACCTGGTTTTACTGATGATAATTTAACGTTAAAACGTGTACAATTAAATGATTTATTAGAACAAGTTATTGATAAATATCGACATGATCCACAATTTATTGAACAACAATCAAAAGAAACAGATTTATTAATTTCTGTTGCACAATTTATACTTCTATCATCACCAATTTCATCTGATGATAAACGAAATTTTCTTAATAATATTGTCAAAATTGGACAAGATTTATTAATAGATGAAAATCAAGTTAATAATAATGAACAAATCTCTTCATCAATCAATTCTAGTAAGTAAAGTCCAAGTGAGTTTCGTATCGAATTAAAAGAAAAAAAAATATATTAGATTTCTTTTTAGAATAAAGTAATGGGAAAATATTTAATAACAACATATTTTTCTTTATAAAGTTAATAGTAGCAAAGCTAGGATTTGGGGCTCAGCCACCCCTACAGACCTTTGAGTTCCTCCTAGCGAAATTTTTCAAGAAAAAAAGATTACATCCTTCAAAAATCTCGCAAGGGGAGGTGGACAAGAAAATCTTTTCAGATGCTCCTCCCCTTTTGATTTCAATAATCTTTTGTCGATAGATACTATATAGTATAGTAAAACCTCTCTATTGTGGACACTATCGGGATCGAAAAAAAGTCTATAGATACTACATAGTGCCCTAGTAAAAACTCTAAAAGAATTTGGGTTCCTAGGACTTTCTTGCAAAGTTATGAATACTTTAATTTTGTCTCTATAAGGAATAACATACAATATTTAAAAGAAGGTTTACCAGGCTGGTTGCCACTAAATGTATATTTTTCTATGTTTTAGCGCAAATGACAGATCGTATCGGGACACGTATAAATCTAAAATATGAAGTTGTTCGGAAGTATTTATGAAAAATCCCAACGGTTACAACTATCGAATTTTTGTGGTTAGATCATAACAATTTTTAAAAATGATTTTTTTGCCTTTTTAAGGATTTTTCTTTCTCTGATCGCTTCTGTGAGCTAGAAGAGGTTTTAAAATATGCAAAACTTACCGAAAGTCAATTCATTTTTTTGCAACGCTATAATTCGACGAGATTCGAGACAAATTACACGTAAAAGAATGACCATCAAACATAGACCTTACTTTTGTGGAAGTTCATTTATTTACTAAAACTTATTGTAATGAATAGTGGTATAGCAGATTTTGTAGAAAATTCTTTTCTGGCTCAAATGGGCGATCAAAAACAGAAAATTTTCAAAAAACCCATTAAAATGAAAAAAAAACACTTTTTTTAATTTTTATGGATCTAACAACAACAATTCGATAATTGTGATCGTTGACATTTTTCATAAATACTTCAAAATAACTTCATATATTGGATTTATAACTTTTCCGATACGATCTTTCATTTACGTTAAAACACAGAAAAATATATATTTAGTGGCAGTCGGCCTGGTGAACCTTCTTTTAAATATTGTATGTTATTCCTTATAGGGACAAAATTAAAGTATTCATAACTTTTGAAGAAAGTCCTAGGAACCCAAATTCTTTTAGAATTTTTACTAGAGCACTATATAATATCTATAGACAAAAAAAAACCATTACATTAAAAAATATTTTCAAAACGAAATTTTTTTCTTAGTTATCAATACATTAGTATCGAATATCATGATGCATGTATAGAAATTGACAAACTTTTTAACATCAAGATAATAAATCTTATATTTTAAGAAAAACTATCAATTAAAGAATACTCTAATTTTATTAAATTTTTTTCTTTAGATTCTCAATTGAATGACGATAAAGATATACCGATAGCTACTCTTTCATTAAATACAATAAAAAATGATACTGATGGTGATTTTTCACTCGATGATCTTGCTAATGAATTTCTTCAAAATGAATCATCACCTTCATCTGTAAATGAAAAGTCAATAACATCAATTGAATTTGAAGAACATGATTTAACTCTTGATAATCTTAGTAAAGATTATACTTCATCTTCACCATCGAATGAATCTATTCTGATCAAATCTCCACTTGAATCTATACTTTTTTCTAATCGTTTATCATCACAAGATGCTGCAGATGATGCTGCTTGTATTTGGAAAGAAGAATCAAGTTCATTTGGTCAAATATTTTGTGGAAAAACAACTGAAAGTCAACCATTAGTATCAAAACGAATTTCAACATGTTTATTTGATCGTAGTTTATATGAACGTGTAACACATCTTATTAATCTTTTACCTAAACAATGTATTCGTAATGCTGTTCAACAATTATCTATTCGACAAAATGGACAACAACAACATCGACCACCACGTACAAATAATAATAATCGACGTCCACCACAACATCGACCAACATTTCAACAAAATTCATCACAAGTACATTCTCTTCAATATTTTCCAACTGCACAAAATTCTCGTCAATATTCAAATCAACAAGGAAATCCAGGTGGATATTTTGTCGATCGAAGACCACAACAACAAAATAGATATCCTCATCCTCCTCCTCCATCATCTTCCGCACAATATACCGGTAATCAACCACAACAACAACAACAATCAAGACATGGACCTAAAAATAATTCTTATGGTAATGGATATCAATCACAAACAAATAATCAACAAGCATCAAATGATTATTATCATCAACGAGGTACAAAAAAACCTTCCGGTGGTGGTGGTAGTGGTGGCAGTAGTAAGTATCTCTCATTTTCTATTTTATTTTATTGTTCTTTTATATAAAAAAAACAAAGTCAATAACAAAAAAAACTAATTATCATTTGTTTTGTTTAACCAATAGGTAACAAATTGAGCAATGAGAAATCAGGTGCACCTGGATCCGGTCCAAGTTTAAAACCCAAATAGATAACAAGTGGTATAAAACCAAAATAAATACCATATGGACTATAACCAATTACTGATTGCAGACGTCGTTTTATATTTTCTGTAGATTTTTGTTCTCTTCGTGATAATGCACTTGATGAACCTGAAAGCATATTTTCTTTTTTTTCACTATCTAAAACAAATTGAGTTTAGAAATGAAGTATCATCCGTATTTTTGTCTTTAGCAGTGATTCGAAATTTGTTGTTTTTTTTTCTTTTTTGCGACTGTCATAATTTTTCTTTATTTGTGCTGTTTGTCGCTCGTCACATTATCCTCGCAAAAATACACTCAAAATGTAAATACTTTATAAGAATACGTGTTTATATAATTTTCATGATCCGTATTAAAAGAACAAAAGATCAATACACGCAATCTTGTTTTTTTTCTTGGATTCTCTTGATTTTTATTCCAACAAGAAAAAAAGAAAAGAAGAAATAGGCAATAGTAGTTCAGCACAACAAAAAATGGTACGAATTATAAAACGACAACAATCAATGATGATGAATCATAGAGACAAAAAAAAAAGAAAAACCACCAACAAATGTCTTTATAATGATAATAAAAAGATGAGGAGAAAAGAAAAACAAAAAAAAAAAAGGTTCCACAAAACACATACAAGCGTGTTGTTATTAGAAGAAGATCTGCTCGCCAGATTGCCTGTTTTATTTGAAGGTACAAAATATGGAAAGAGCAACTACACCGGAAAGATGTGCTCTTTCACATGCGATGTTTTTTTTTCACGGCCTGAATAATGATGATACGATAAAAAATAAATAAACAAAAAATATAATCGAATATCAAAAGAAAAAAAAAAGAGAAAGAAAGAATGACGAACAGGTTAAATAAATGACAACGAAAACAACAACAAAAAGAAAAAAAAACGAGAATGCTTCCCACCAAAAAAAAAAACGAAGAAGGTTGAAATGACATTGACAAAACAAAAACAAAAAAGAGAAGCTGAGATGAATGAAGAGAGAGAGAGAGCGGAAAAAATCATACAAAATAAAACTTGTGTACAAAATAAACGGAAACACAAAAAAAAAGAAACAAAGAGAGCGAACAGATTTTTTTTTATAATCTTTTTTTTTGTTTTTTTTTAACAAAAAAGCCCACAATATATGTAGAAAGATTGCACAAAAACAGAAAGAAAAAAAAAACAAAAAAACAAAAAAGAATAATCAACTATGACGAGTAAAACACATCTAAATGTGTTGATTTCTTTTATAAAGTTATTATCAGAAGAAGAAGAAAAAGAAAAAAAAAATACGAGATCATCCAACGACTTATCCTCCACTAACAACATTGATCCAACAAATGCGCTAGGTCTTATGGAAAACAAATAAGAAGACATACATATGCGCAATGTTCACAAAACAAAATGAAAAAAAAAAAGAATCGAATATAGACAAAAACAACCAATAATAATAATAATCAGAATTTCTCTACCAACGAAATGGTAATGTACGTGGACGATCAGCGCCTTCTTTTACCAATGGTTTATGATATTCTCGACCTGAACGAGCATGAATTGATGCCCAACATGCTTCACAATAATATTGTAAACATGTTACATTTGCACAAAAAAATGGAGCAAATTTTCCACCACATCGTGCACCAGCACATTCATCGCATAATTGATCATCAAGTACATATGGTTTAACTTCAACCTAAAAAAAAAACAAGATATTTTATAAATTAAATAATCAATAGAAAAAAAAACCAAGATAACTAACTCGTTTGTCAATATCTCCATGTTGTAATTGTACAAAACGAGCTGATATTGCAGCTATATAACTTTGTTGATTTGAAAAAGCTACACGACCAGCGCCTTTCGGATATTTTAATTCTGGATCTGTATCAATACCAGCATAACAAACACCACCATACAATCGATCCATTATCATCGCTAATTCAACTAAAAAAATAAAAAAAAAAGATTCATATAGATACTAAAATTCATGTCTATCGAAATTAAAGACAATAGCTAACGACCTGCGACTTTCAGCAAACTCCAGACGTCTTCTCAAAACATTCAACAGTGCTAGGTTTCAAAGAAAGGCGACTTTGAGTTTTTTGACGATATGTATAGGCTTCTAGAGAAAGACCCTCTCTATCTGATAGTGTATGCACTATCAACTTCTACTGCGATAGGTGACGCCACCTATTGACATATCAACACTATGCAGTAGAACTTGACACTACATATCAGACCTCGAAACTAGATCCTTTTTTTATGTCTCGATCCGGGCCTAAGTGGTCCAAACATTGTTTAGGCCAACCCGACTCGACAAATGCTCTACATCTACCCGGCTCGAGCTCGAAAGAAATTTCGTTTACAAAATTTTTTTTCCCAGTAGACACCTATTCCATATTTTTCGGCTTCTATAAAAAGTGATGATCAAGGAATAGTGTGGAGAAGCTTCTCCCTATCCCTTTAGGGAGAAGCCAAATCTCAGAAAAGGTGGCCCGGTCGGCTCGTTTGAGGTCTGCTACACACATCATTAGATAGAGAAAGTCTTTCTCCACAAGCAATATATTCCGTTCTGTAGTGAAAATTCTACAGTCGTGTTTTGTTAAAAAAACAACAGAATTCTGTATAATTTGATCGAATAAATATGTAGCTTTTTTCATTCAACATAAAGACGTGAGAAGACAATCATTTGAAGTGTCTGTCACAAAGAAAATTATATCAAAATAGAACATCTATTGTGAAAGTTTTAGGTCTTTTGATTTGTTCTTTTCTTGAAATAAGAATATCAAATCTACCGATGTGATGTAAAAGACACGCTATCACTCTAGTTGTATCTAAGGATGGGAACAGTGAAAAAATCTTTGAAAATCAGTTTTTCTGAATCATTAAAAAGAAATCGTAAAAATGCAGTCATAAACTAAGAACACGAACTCTTTACAGCTCATTTGATTCAATATAATGCACATAGTCTCGACTATAACTTGCACAAAGTTCAAATTTCTTTTTTTGTAATATTTTTCTTGTCGTTAAAAGCAATGACATAACTCATTTTTCTAAGGATTAATCTTCGATAGCTATACAACATGTTTATCATATAGAAGTGTCATTTCGTTTCTTTTAGACACTTATAAATCATGTCATCAACTAATTATTTAAAAAACAAATCATATCTTAATTTTGTATTTTTGGAACAAAGGCATATGATATGCTCGTGTTATTCATCGTGAAACAAATATTTTACAATGGACTATCTATTACAATATCAACAAACTAAAACAAACAAATTCACTTAAACATCAAGGTGGAAATGGTTGACCACATATGCTGAATAAAAGAGAAAAAAGATCTATTGATCAATATATTCGACGTAACAATGAAATAACTCTTAAAGAAAATTTATCGAGAAAGTATCGTACATCAATATTCACAACAACAATAAGTCGCCATCTTTATGAATATGATTATAAGAAAGTTTTATCAAAAGGCCCTCATAGATTGTTTAATCAGTTATGCAAATATCTGTATAACTAATATTCGAAAAAAATTCTCTTACCAGCACGTAATGGTCGAGGTACACCACCAACAAAAATAGTTTTTCTTGGATCAAGTGGTTGTGTACCATCCATAACAAAATCCGAATCAGCCAAAAGCCATGGACGTATTTGTACAGCTTTATCTTTCATACTTGGACTTGATACACACATATAAAGTTTAGAATCATCAATAACGCATTCATCAATTAATTCTTGTACTGAACGTTCATATGTAAATATTAAAAAAGCATAACCTTTCGGAGGAAAATATGATTTGCTTTCTTGTTTATGTGGCCAATCAACAATTAATGGACCAAATCTTTGAAAATGTGCAATAATTTCCTCTACAAACAAAATGATTAATATTTTTTTTCAATACAAAAACAAAAATTTTTACCTTCATCAATATCTGGTGGTAAACCTCCAACAAAAACTTTACGTGAAAAACGTTCTTCTTTATTCATATCTATTGGCATTATACGTGATGATGAATTAAATAAAGCTGTTGATGATGTTGATGGACCACCAACTGACATTAAACTTTCTGTATCAAGTATACTACCCATTCCACTATCTTCACTATAGACACGTTTAACTCCATCATTTGAAACATTTCGCATCATATCCATTGCTTGATAAAATGAACTCATATCATATGCATCACTCGACTAGAAAAAAATACAAAAAAGAAATCTTTTTGTTTTGTTTTTATATCTTAGTTACATTCATCGATGTAAAATTTTGTCCAATATCACCATTATTTATTTGTGATGATGATTGTCCATTTTGTGTTGTAAGAAAATTATTTATCATTGATGTTGATCGTAATGTATTTAGTGATGTTGGATTTTGACTTGTTGATGGTGGAAGAAATGAAAAGAAATTATTGTGTCCTTTTTTGGTTTGAATATTTGGATTTGTTAATGATGGTACCGGACGACGAGATCTAAAAAAAACCAATAGTTTATTTTCAAAAAAAAAAAAATTAAATAATAAAATCAACATACGATGTTGCCGGAAAACCATGTGGAATTGATGATGAATTCCATGTTGGTGATTGAGATTGTTGTTGTTGTATATGAGGTGGTGGACCAATTGATGGTGATTGACTATTCCATCGTCCATTGAGAGGTAATGTTGGAATACCATTACCACTACGAATAGTTTGTGTTGGAAAATTATGTGCTGCTGTTATTGGTCTTCTTTGCACTGCCTTTAGAAAAAAAAAAACAAAAATTATTAGTTCAATTTCTATATAAAATATGATGCATCGGCTGTTGCTTATTATAGGGAAATTGTTTTATTCTATTTATTTTAGTACATATTTCTTCACGATCATTTTACTTAATCACTAGCACTACTCTTGTTTTGGGTGGGTAGTGGCACCCTCGCTACTTGTGCTTTACTATTCAGGATACAAATTACCAGTATATTAGCTGCTTACTTGTGCGTATTCTTGATAACACAATGCACCTAG